CCGGTGCAGGCCGCCGGGTTCCAAAACTCTTGGTTGGCGGTCGTCGATGCGTCATAGTCGGTGCACTCTAGTCATTTCATACAAATAATTGTTGGCAATCGTGTTGGTAAGAAGAGATACGTACCGAGCCACGAGTGCGCCGTCGCGGTCGCAGCGAACAGGCTCAAAAGCGCAGTGGATGTCAACATGCTGCAAGGTCGTCGAGGCAAAAGCAAAATTGCAAAGTGAGTGCTCTCTACATACAAGTACGGCTACGACGCTGGGCTTCGGAACCACCATATCGTGTGACGATTGGCCGTTTCAACCATCATGAACGACCCCGTGGCAGCGGCGAGTGCGACGCTGGCCGGCCAATGGCGTGCAGATGCGGCTTCGACACCGATCGACCGACGCCACCGGCTTCTCGATGCGGTCGCGGACAAATGGTCGCACGGCCGCCGGGCGCCGACTGAGAACGCCCTCGCATACGATCCGCAATACTGCAACGCGTTCATTCAAGACGCGATTGCCGTCGTGTATCACTCGGCGCGGTGGACACACGGCGCCAAGACAACGACCAAGACGACGACGACTCTGTCGCCACCGAAAACCACCGTGAGCAACAACCGTCCGACGTCCGCGACCAGCGTTCGACGAAGGACGCTGGTGGACAACCCGATCAAGAATCCGATGGATGTTGCCACGATGGTGTACCGCGCACCCATGTTCCAGGCGCCTCATTTACAGGCGCTCGAAGCCGAGGCATATTCGCTGCTTGACGCGACCGACGTTCGGTACAAGCATCGACTCCCGCGCGGACCAGGGCTCAGCCCGACTCGAAAAGCTTGCGAGCTTGCGTCCTGCATTCGTTGGAGCGTCCGAGATCGAGAAGCTTAAGTGCCCCAACGGTGGGCGCCGCAATCGTCTGGTCTATCTCAGACCATCGTCACGTGCCACTGGTTCTGCAACTGGACAGCGCCAGACATATGAGCGCCTCGTCAGCTTGGCTGCATTACGGTGGAGAGGCGCCAATGGAGCACACGGCGATGTTACACACCCAGTGTATGAAAGACGTGCGCAATTAACACATCGGTAGCGCCCATGTGCCATCGCAAAATCATGCAAGTCGTATCTCGCATCACAGCTACAGCGACGCACTGGAGCGCGCAAGCATCACGTGATCAGCACGAATGAATTGAATACTCGGAGCACGCTGTTGACGGGAGCGAGCATGAGTCGCAAGCGTCATAGCGAGGTTATCGAAGGTTGAGGTAAATGCTCCTGGTCGCAACAAACGCACGACGTGGAGCTTTCTGTCATGCAGAAATGAACTGCCTTGATATCTGGACGAAGCGCGCAATGCTTCGACATGGTGCAAGGAGACCGTAAAAGCGTTTTAGCTCGAGATGAATTGAGGAGGAAGTTTAAAAATGCAGGATAAAAAAAAGGAATAGAATATAGAGTATACAAAGGACTTCTCATAACACCAGCGTCCGCTCACACCGTCTTGGAATAGCAACGGTGGACGTTCATCAAGAGCCAGCAACTCAAAACTCAATTCGAGCTTCTGGCCGACATCCCGAGTCAACGGACGTGGTCACATACGATCATCAAAGTCATTTGTGATGTCAACTTTGAAAACAAAGTAGAACAGAACTGTACTGTAGAAAATGATCCTGTATAAGTACGGTCTTAATTTCCAGTTGGGGCCATCGTCCGCTGCAGTTGCTATGTCGTACATTTCAGGTCCATTTTCACAGTGCAATTTGCGTTCCTTGGGATGGCCAACTCTGCACCGTTCAAGCGTCGAATCAAACGACACGATTCGAGCATGGCGCGTACACATCCGCATACCACCAGCTGTATCCGCATACACTATCGTACATTTGCGGTAAATGTCCACGAATATTTCAGACCGATTGAAATTCTATTTTCATTTCGGATCTATCGTGTCTAAATCGGACAAACTAGGCTTTTGGCTTCATTCACTGTTTCAAGAAAGATGGCATACTCAAATGTACTCTTTGTGCCAATTCGCGTCATTTCGAAGCATTCCACCACCACGATCGCTACCAGCCATGCTACTAGCTAGCTTGGCACACAAGGCCTCAACGCACTGTGGTCTAGTCAAGAGAG